GAAAAGGCGTTGCGGTGAGTTTTTTGTACTCAAATAGCCATCACATTCTAAGTATCTCCTTTGTTTTATAGTAATTATGGATTCTTGAATGTAATGGTAAATACCATCGACTCTTATCAAGGCATGGAATGTGATGTCATCATAATTTCAAATGCACGTACCACTGGCATTGGATTCTTGGCAAACTATCAGCGCTTGAATGTGGCTTTAACTCGACCGAAAAAGTGCCTTATACTGTGTGGAAACTTCAAAAATTTGGAGGTAAACAAAATAGTTAAAATTTTTATTTTACTTTACTTACGTAAAGATGCTTTGGCTTTTATTATTGCTCCTCTAAACGAATCTATATATTAATGTTCAACATCGTAATCATTACAAAAGGCCCTAAGGGATATTTCGAGGAAATACTCTGTCGTTCAATACATATTACGATAGTTTGATTCCAGATAAATTCCCAAAACGTCTCTTACAGAAAGGATATTTTGTAATGGTGGCCATATATACAAAAAGTACTCTAGAAATTAAAAAAGTGTTTGGGTCAAAGTAATCGGTTGAAACGAATTGTAATCGATAGCCTACACAGAAATACATTTACCAAGTTTTTACTGATGCCTTCATGTCGAATATGCCAAAAAACCTGATTTTTCACAGCGGCAAATTTTTGCGAAATTTTAACTTAAACTCGCTATATCTCACACATTTTATTATCGATTAGTTTCAAATTTTTACAGAATAAACTTGATACTATTCTTAAGAAACTGAGTTTAACTACGGTCCTTAGTACTTATTAAAAACAAAATGGCAAAGTTTTTTCAAATGCAAATGTTTTGTTATAAAATTAAAACTTTTGTTTTTGTTTTAATGCAGATTTATAGACGAATATCCAAGAAAGTTTTTGGGAAAGTTTGAGGTTTAAACAGCAAGTAGTTCCTAAATTATAACAATATTATGGTGACGCCCACGAGTGGGCGCTCGCCCCTAGATGACAAATATATTCACATAGCACTTGAACAAGTAATTTTGAATGTAATATTAAATAAAATGTTGAAGTTCATGAATTTATCAGGGTTATAGAGCTTATCAAAGCTCTTTATTTTAAACTTAACAGACATACTTACATATATATCTGTGTAATTACATACAGTGGTGGAAGAAATAATATAAACTTTTTTTTTGACCAGGTTTGGCTATATTACTTTAGTTTGTTCGATATTTAATATTTTTTTTGTAAAATTCTATATATTAGTCATCTAGGGGCGTGTGCCCGCTCGTGGGCGTCACCATAATATTGTTATAACTTTGGAACTACTTGCTGTTTAAACCTCAAACTTTTCCAGAAACTTCCTTAGATATTCGTCTATAAATCCCCATTAAAACAAAAGCGAAAGTTCAAACTTTATAACACAATTTTTGCATTTGAAAAAAATATCTCCATAATTTTTATAAAAAAGTTTAAAAATCCGCCATTTTGTTTTTAATGAGTATAAAGAAATGTGCTTAAACTCAGTTTCTTAAGAATAGTATCTAGTTTATTGTGTAAGAATTTGAAATCAATCGATAATAAAATGCGTGAGATATAGCTAGTTTAAGTTCAAATTTCGCAAAAATTTGCCGCTGTGAAAAATCAGTTTTTTTGGCGTTTTCGACATGAAGGCATCAGTAAAAACTTGGTTAAAATTAACGGTAAATATATTTCTATGTGAGCTATCGATTACAATTGGTTTCAACCGGTTACTTCGATCCAAACACCTCTCCAGATTTTTTGGGCATAATCCGCACGCCTAATACATATTTATTATATTATATAATTATATTTAAACTAGTGAACCCGTATGGCGTTAAGACGCCAAAATTGAATTGAACTTTTTGAACAGGTTGAAACCCTGATCAAAAACCTTTATAAATATTACAAATATTTCATCTTAATCTGCCATCCCTTTCTGAGAGAAGAGAAGTGTCGATTTTTTATTCCATCAAATTTCAAGTCGCCCTGTACCGCTTAAAATAGTTCTATGGTAAATAAATTATACCTAAAACGACGTTTCCCCGACAACCGAACAGTGTTCTTGCGATTCAAACAAAGTACCACCGGTTTTTTATGTCTTGGTTTGTATATAATATTTCTGCAACTATATCAGTGCTCAATCTGGTCCTCAAGTTAGTACTACACATTTTTAAACTAAACGTTCTACTGAAGCATTAGAAAAGGGCTATATTAGTAATGCAGATATAATTTTTTAATTTGGAAACTTATATGAACCTGAAGATTCTTTTAATTTAAAAACTTTTTTCCTATAATTTGAATATGAATATTCTTATGATCGAACAATGCGTGTTCTCTCCATTCGTTATCGAGATTTTGCAAGTTCAAAATAAGTTGAAAATATAACGATGGAATGAAAAAAATTATCGATAACATTTTGAATATTTAGCAACAAATGCAGATGTGCTTAAGAGCGAAAACACCAAACACGCGGCTTGACAAACCAAGCGAAATATCCCATTGCTTAAAGCTATTTATTACTACGTTTATACGCACGTATTATTTGCAAATAATAATTTGCAAAATGGTAAACTTTGCCGTATAAACGCTGAGTTAATTTTTTAATTGCAAATAACTAAATCACGCAAATAAGTATTGATTAGTGGTACTATTTGCAAATAAGCGCAAGACGCCGCCATTCTTAGGTTTATTTTCTTTTTCGATGGTCATCTTATTGCCCTTTTATAATCAAGACGTTGCCATTTTTAACTTTATTTTCTTTTTCGATAGTCATATTATTGCCTTTTTATAATCAGGCAATATAGAAAAAGATTTTTCACCATCGAATAAACAGTGAGTTAGGTATTTGCAAATTATTTTTATTTGCAAATAGCTTACGTATAAACGTAGTATGTGTTGTATATGGGGGTTTTTGAAGGTTTGACAAGCCATTTGAAGGAAATGTGAACAAAAATCAAAATTTGATCAAACCGCTTACGTTGTGTATGATAAAATCGCCTCATTCGCAACGGAATTTTTACCGAATATGGACGCAAGAAAGAAAAATTGAAGAAAACCAAACCCTTTTACATTGGGCTATTAATTAATTATTAATGTATGTATTAATTTTTATTTTTTGAGCACATTAAACTCTGATGAACTGGGGCGAGCCTAAGATATTGACCAAAACTTGTAAACTTTTACGCAGATTGTTTTTAGCATGATACAAAAAAGAAGGTAGTTTCAACAAACAACTTTTTGATTAAAAAGCAGATTTTTGACAATTGCTCAATTGTGAAAAGTTCGAAGCGGCGCACAGTGGTTCGGATCGCAAATCTAGCTGGACGAAACTATTTAAACAAATACTCGTTGATGGATCTTTACACCACTTCTTACCTAGGGGATTTTTGAGTAGCTGATTACGAATCTGAAGTCACTTATCAAAAATTCAAAATGGCGGATCCAATATGGCGGACGAAAATTTAAAAAAATCGGTAGATTTCTATGAAACTGGGTATCTGGGGGGTTTCTGGGTCGCTCATTACATATCTAAAGTCATTTACCAAAAATTCAAAATGGCGGATCCAATATGGCGGACGAAAATTTAAAAAAATCGGTAGATTTCTATGTAACTGGGTATCTGGGGATTTTCTGGGTTGCTGATTACGAATCTAAAGTCATTTACTTAATTTACTTTATTTACTTCGGAACGAGCATTTTCATCAGATATTTCTTTCAATTTACTAATCACATAATCACGGACACCTTGTTGTCTTTTAGAAGTTTCAGCAACACCAAATGTCAAACAACTCACTTCTTAAGATTTTATTTACCATAACTAAAATTTAAGATCACAGCAAGAAACACAAATAAATTTCAGAAAAAATTTTATAACAGCGCTTAAAGATTTGCATGCCTGTTGTATAATTTTTTAATTTCAGAAAGCAGAAAATTTGCGAGGTACTATTTTTTTTAACTCTTACATAACCAAAGGTTTTATAACTCCAAGTATTTTTCTGTTTTAACACACAACCCCTTTCCCCCTCTCCCTCGTGGATCCGCCACTGATCTTATATTTATATTCAGATACATTCCTGTTAATAATTACTTTTGAATTTTGAGATTTGACATACCGTCACTAAAATGTAAATATCTAAGCCAATTGGTTAGACTTGGTTATCGCATTTGCGAAGGTGTAAAGAATAATATGCAAGTGGTTTTATAACGGCCTTCGGCGGCCTTTACTTTTCCTACTCTTTAATTAATTTTTTTAATTAATCAACACGACGATTTTTCAGAATAAATTTGCTTATACCAATGTGGACATAAATTGCGTTATTACCTCTGAATCTATAGCGGAATAAGTGTAATTTTTTGTTTATAAAGTCAATTTGCAATTATGCAAATATTTGTGAGTGCAATTAGCAATCCTTTAAGTTAAATTTCAGCTTTTAAAATAGAGTTCTCAAATAGGCGGCCTTGACTTACCTTTTTTGTTTGTTTTCATATGTTAATGCTTTAATAAATGCAATTTCTATTTGAATGTATTTTCAGGAATGTATTCCATGTACCATTAAGTATTTTAAAAACAAAAAAATTTTGCCTTTCGTCCAGCTAGATGTGCTATCCGTGTGCGGCGTTACCTAGTTTAAGTTTCTTGTTGCAGAGGATTTTATATCATAAATTTGGGATTATAAATATAATAGTTGTATTAACATTTACCTTTTGAAAATAATTAATATCTTATCTTAAAAATGTTTAAATTTTAGATTAAATTCGATAACCACTTGCCAAAATCTTTATTTTTAAATTCATAAAATTTTATTGAACATATTTTTAGATTTTTTAGTGTCCATATGTGTCATATGATTATTTCACAATGTAGCTAGCCAGGACTACTGCAGTTTTCTATATCGGACAGACATATTGTCTTTGTCCATTTAACTACATGTCTTTCAAGTAACTCGAAAGTGGAATTTACTGTGGGACCCATGGGCTTCATGACTTTCAGAGAAGTGAATGCTATCAATTTTTAGTATATTTTGAAAATATCGTCCTTTCTTTGGGTAAAAATAAAGTTTTGAAAAATAATCGATTCTCGAATCTTATTTAATCCTTACGTTTCTTGGAATCGAATAATCGACGGCGAGATTCGAATTATTCGATTCTAATCGATTATTAAAAATCTATAAAAAGGACAACTATACAGTCAATTAAAACTATTTTAAGAAGAGCTTTAATAGTAAATTTGTGGAAAAATTGCTTCATTTCCTATAAA